CACACACACACACACACACACACACACACACACACACACACACCCTATTTAACCAGCCTCTCAAATAGGACAGTAAGGATTGTGTAATTTTCAAGTTTTTCCACTATTGAAGCACATACATATTAAAAACTCATTGATTTTTTTAGGAAAAAAAAAAGGAAAAGGAAAAGAAAGAAACCTGATGTCTTTCAGGCCAAGCACCTGCGTCTGTGGACTGGGCCTAATAAAGCGGTGCCCAAACCTCTCGAAGGCCAGCGGATGGAGGGGTGGGGACCGCAGACCTGTTTCTTCCTCGCATTCACACACACGTCCAGCCAGTGAGCTGCGGGGGACAGTGCAGTGTCCAATGGGCATTCCCCCATCCCCCCACCCCCGACTGCTCTCACTGTCACTCACTGTCCACAGACCTACCGTGAGCACCTGGAAGGGCAGAAGCACAAAAAGAAAGAGGCGGCTCAGAAGATGGGTGTCCAGTCCAACGGCAGCCCATGTGGGGTGCAGGCGAAGCTGCACTGTGACCTGTGTGCTGTGTCCTGCACTGGGGCAGAGGCCTACGCTGCCCACATCCAGGGGGCCAAGCACCAGAAGGTAGGAGCCCTCCAGCCCTGGCCTCCACACTTGGGACCCAGAGGAACATCCAGTGACATCAGAAGGGGCAGCCACTGATGAGAGGGAGCTGTCCCTGCAGGGCTCATGTGTCTTCCTTCCTTAGAAGCCAGACACCTTCTCCCAGTTAGAAAAGTCCTACCTGCTCCTGGACAAAAGCATAAAGCAGTGCAGGGCTTATACCCAGGGCCCGAGAAACTGTTCTTGGCATTAAACACGTTCACATGCTTACACGAACGAGAGTTTGAATATTAATGAGATCAAATGGTATACTCCATTTGGGGTGTTGCTTTTTAAAAACAAATAAAATTAAATAAAAAAATAAAATAGTAAATTTTAATGTCAAGGATATCAAGGATGGGGTTTGACTGAATCCTGTGTGCTTGTGCTTCCATGGATGTGTACACATGTTCACACAGGATGTAGACGTGCGTCCGTGGATGTGTACACATGTTCACACAGAACATAGATGTGTCCGTGGATGTGTACATGCATACGTCTTAGCATGTGGCCCCATCCATGCATCCATCCACATACACTGTGACCCCATCAGGGGTGGGCACCATGTTGGTGCTTGGGAAGCAGAGAATGGCTCTGCCTTTTAGCCCAAGGCAGTGGAATTTGGAGGAAGGAAGTCGGTATTAGCCAGCACCAGGTGTTGAGTATTATAGGGCCTGCATGTGTGTGACTAGTGGAGGCCTAGAAGCAGGAGATGGCTCAGAAAGGCCCTTCCATGGGGAGTGATGCTCAAGAGCGCAAAAGGCATATAACTGGGAGGTGGGGAGTAGGTGGGGTCCCTGGGACTGGGATGGGACCACCCTCCCTCACTTCCACAGGTTGCCAGCCCTGCCAGGCCCACCGTGGTGCTCTTCCTTCCTCTTGAGGAAGGTCTATCAGGCCTGCAGGTGGCCCTAACAGGGACATGGGTCTGTTCTAGGTCTATAAGCTGCACACCAAATTGGGGAAGCCCATCCCCACCATAGAACCGGCACCCAGGAAATCCAGCTCATCCCAGACCACCTGCACCAGCAAGCCGGCCCCCCTCACCACGGAGAGCCCCGCTATGGCCTCAGCCAAGCCTGCTGCCCCCTCTGACCACAGCGTGCACACCCCAAGCAGGTCAGAGCTGGCCAAGAGACCAGTGGCCAGGAAGGCCACATGCGTGGGTACGTGTCTCTGCAGTTCACAACCCTCCCACCCACACCCTGACTCAACAAGCCTGAGATTCAGAGAAGTGCTTGCCCAATTAACTTGTGTGTGTGTGCAAGTCAGCACATATGGGGAAGGACTAAGCTATGAATGGGGGAGGGCAGAGAAGGGGATGTGCCTTCCTCCCATGTTTCTGCCAGGCAGGGTGTGCTCTGGTCCATACTCTCTGGATATGAGAGCATTTCCCAGGAACCTTGGCAGAACCAATGGGATGGCAGCATCATTTTTTCCCATGGAGCTTGGGGCCCACCAGGTGCTAGAGCTACTCTGCATCTCCAACCTAGGCCTGGAGAACCCCTGGGCTGCAACCTCCCATGAACTGGGAACAGCCCCATTCACACCCTGATGCTCATGGTGGACAGACTGGGCTCTGACAGTTATGTGGACAGTGGAGATTAAGGCAGGCTCCTCATAGCCCCACCTCCGGCCCTGCCTTCCGTCAGGGGTGGGATGCATCTAGCAGAAACCTGAGGGAAGTAATGGCTGCCTCATGATGCATACTGAGTGGGTCATAACCAGGATTAGATGCCAGGCACTCAATCCACAACTGCTCCACATGCATTGCCTGGTGTACCCTCCACGGCTCTTTAAGGTAGATTTTGTCATTAGTCCCAATTTGCAGATGGAAAAACTGAGGGGAGGGGCGAGAAAGTTCCTAACCCAGCCACCCCATAAGCGGTGAGGGCAGGATTCAAACCCAGGTCTCTGACCCCCTCTGCTCTTTACTTCCATGCTGTGTGTGGAAGAGGGAGGAGCTTATTTTATTTTTAGCCTCAGCAGCAGTGTTTTTTGAATAATCACATGACGTTGAAAATAAAATCACAAAGCACTTTGGATAACAAAGAAATGCTCCCTTCCGAGGCTCAGTGGATTCCTTTCAGGGGCCTGGCTTGCCTAGGACCCTCCTTCCACTTGATGTCTTATCGTCAGTTAACTAAGGGTCAATTAACTAAGGCTGCAGGGCCTGCCGTGGGCGGGTTCCTCAGCCAGGGCCACTCAATGGACAGAATCAGATTAGCACCAAGCACTGTGTGGGCCTCGTTCTCTCAGCCATGACCCAGGCTGGCGTGAGAGGGGTCTTGGATGGTGGATCCGACTGGCTGATGTCATGTGGGGGTGAGAGGAGCTGCACTTTGTTCTGCCCTTCACACCAGTGGACTGGAAGCTGGTTGTGGTTTCTGGCTGGACCAAGTTATAAGGGACGCAGTTCTTTTTTTTTTTTTAGGTCCTATGTAGTTTTATTCTAGTAATAGTAACACCCTACAATTATATTGGGTTGTCGAAAAAGTCATGACGCACCTTTGCAACGAAAAACATAGAAAAAAATACGTCATGACTTTTCTGACAACCCAATATCGCTACTGTTTTTACTGAAATGACTACTACTATCACCACAACTTATTATTTATGGAAAACTTCCAATGCACTATTACTTTTTAGTAAATTCATTCCAAAAATATGCATCTCATCCCTGCTATGTGCAGAACACAGTGTTAACCCTACCATGGTTTAGCTTTTTCAGTGCTTGACACTTCAGTAAGTAAGCTGTTTCCTATGCCCACATTTCAGGTCTTAAAGATGTCACCGTGGGTGATTATTCAATATTTCCATTTAACAAGAATTTTCATAGATAAGAGAGGACAGAAAGTACAGTGAAACGTGCTAATTTAGGGCAAAGCAATGCCAAGTGATTAGGACAAGCCTGGAAGAGACTGGCAAGGCTATAAGAGAGGAGCAGTCGTATCGACTTCCAGTACATCCTGAGGAGAGCCACAGGGACACCCTTCAACATGGCAATAGGTTTTATTAATTCAATGTGCATTGGGCACCTGTTGAGCTAACTAGAGTACTACTGGTTTTTAATTAAAATTTTTTTTATTCTGAGAAAATTACAGAAAATGTATCACATGCTGTTGGAAGAAATGATACAGAGAGACCCTGAGTATCCTTTACCCATTTTCCTCCAATGGTGATGTCTTGCAAAACTATAGTCAGGGACGCAGTTCTTCTTTCCAGGGCCTCCTGAGCCAAAGGCAGCGGGCCGCAGACCTCCAGAAGAAAAAGTGGCACACCGGAAATCAGAAAGGCCCGGAGAACTGCCCACCGGAGGAGGCTCTGCTGAAGCTTCTGGAAGTTTCAGTGACTCAGAGCCAGTGGGCCCAGGCTATGTGGAGGAGGTAACTCTGCCCGTGACTCTCTAGCTCTCAGGCCATCAGTGTGTGCCCTTCTCCACCTCCAGGCCCTGGTGGAGAAGGGCCTTGCTGGGGTCAGGCTTCGGGCCCTCAGCCCAGTTCTCCATATGACGTTTATACACCCATCCCCGGGCAGACCTCAATGAGTTGTGCGGAACTTGCTAGAAGGTCCTGGCAATGGGTTTCAGATCTTAGAAGGAAGGCCTGAGACAGGCAAGGGTATTTCTTGCTGGGCAGCCCCTTTTCCTATGGGAAGAAAGGTGTAAAGAGGAAGCCTTGCCCTAGAAACCTAGGCTACTGCATCACCCCAAGGCACAAGATTCTAGGGGCAGGGCATTAGGAACCAGCGTGCGCCCTACACGACATTGCCCAGACATGCCCAGAGCCCAAGCAGTAGCCCCGCAGGTTTGTCTTAAACAACCTTCTAGAACTCAAATTCTGAAGTTTCTCCTGGCTGCTTCCATAGTTCCCAGCCTCCCGGAGCACTGCCAGACTGTGCGTGGCTCAAAGGAAGTGCGAGCTCTAGCATCTCTCCTTTTTCTTTTTTTGTGGTTTTGTTCAACCAGTTTAGCATCTTCCGAACAGCCACATCAGATAGGACTCCTGTGCCGGAGACCCCATCATTTAATAGTTAAGGAGATGAGATCCATAAAAGCCGCAGCAAACAGAGAAGGGCGCTCTGGCCCTCGTGGGCAGGGCATCGGTGGGAGGTGGCTGAGCCCAGGGGACAAGATGGGACCCAACAGTGGCAAAGGAGAACCCCAGCATGGGAGGGCACTGACGGTGTGTTGGCTCCTCCGAAAGCTGCCCTGTGGAAGAACTTGGCAGACAGGACGCTGTGCTGTCACTCCTCTGGGCTGCCTAGGAAGGCTCAGTGCCTTTGGAAGACGGAGGGAGGCGCCCCTTCCCCCTGGCCTGACCTGGCCAGCACTCAGCTGAGCTATGTGTGTCAGGTGTGCAACGATGAAGGCAAAGTGATCCGGTTCCACTGCAAGCTGTGTGAATGCAGCTTCAATGACCACAACGCCAGGGACCTGCACGTGAGGGGGCGGCGTCACCGGCTGCAGTACAAGGTGTGCCCTGCAAGGGTCTGCTTAGCTGCAGGGAGGGGGTGACCTGCCTCGCTTCCCACATCTCGGTCCCTGTCTTAAAACATGGCGTCCTTCCTTGGACAGTAGCCCAGGCCCCGTGGGCCTCTGCAGCGGAGTCCGGGCCTGCATTTCTCGCTGCCTGGAGACCAGAGCAGAAAACAGGCCGTTGTATTTGCCAGTTGATTTACTCTCTTGCAGATGAATGTTCAGCTTTAAAACTCTGCACCTAGTTATTGCCCAGGAGAGTCCTCAAGCTACGGTCACATCGATGATGTGCCCACAAAACAGGACTCAGATGTGGCCCCCTTTTCCTGATACTCAGTGTCAGTTCGTTCCTACCTGACATGTGCTGTTTTTCTTTTCTTGGGCCTCTGCCTGTGTCCCAAACTGGTGTGCGCTGGCTGAGATAGGGAGTGCTGTGCCCCTTCTGAACTGTGTCCCCACAGGAAATCACGCGGCACAGTGCTGAGTCTGTGAGCTTGAGAGAGGCCAGGGCCCTGGTGCTGAGGGCACTGCTGCAGGATAGCATCGGTCAGACTGAGCCATCCTCAGGGAGCTTGTGGCCTCCAATGCTGAGAGCCTCCCAGCACCAGTAGAAGCCCCCTTTTCCACACAAGGGGGTGGCTTTGTGTGGCCAGGAGCTCCTGTGGACCTTTCAGCACCCTGGGTTCACCCTGGGTATGCCCGCACATGTGTGTATTTAAACATGCCTGACTGTCAGGCTCGAGTATGCTTGTGCACAGTACACACATGTAACTCTCCTTGGGATGATAAATAGTGGTTTCCGAGTATTTCCTCTTTTTGTAACAGCTTCATTGACATGTCATTCACAGTCCACACAATTCACCCATACAAAGTGCACAGTTTAATGGCTTTTACTGTATTCAGAGTTGTGCAACCACCACTTCTCTCTAATTCCAGAACATTCTCATCACCCCAAAAAGAGCCCTGTCCCCATTAGCAGTAATTCCCCAGTTCTACCCCAATCCCTTTATTAAAAACCACTAACCTGCTTCCTGTCTGTGGATGTGCCTGTTCTAGACATTTCACATAAGTGGTATCACACACAGTGTGGCCTTGTGTGTCTGGCTTCTCTCACTGAGCACCATGTGTTCAAGGTCCATCCACATTTTGGTGAGTGTCAGTGCCTCCCTCCTTTTCACAGCTGAGTAATATTCCGCTGTCTGGGTGGACCGCATCTTGTGTAGCCATTCACCTTGGGTTTCCGCCGGTGAATAATCCTAGACAACACTACACCTTCTGAATGATGAAATCAAGTGATAAAATCAAAGTTCAGCAAATGAATTAGCAATGCTATTTGAAATATACATGGCAGGGTTTCACACAAATGGCGTTTGCCCGGAATTATTTTGATTGGAAAAGAGCTTTTTCCGTTGAACTTTCAGCGACTTCAGTGATCACGGATGGTTACTCGCCAGTGGTGTCGCAGCACCTTTGGCTCCTCTGTCAGATATGCAGACGCGGTTTGGGTTTCACTGTTGGCGGGCGTCGTGTCTGTTACTCTGCATGTCGTGTCAGTTGTGTTTGTCCCCTGCGTTAGTTCCCTTTCCTGCCAGTGCTTTTGGGGATGAGGAGTGTTAAGACTTTGGGGGACTGAAACCCAACCGTTGTCTGAATCCCACAGAAGGGTGTTAGTCACGGGGTCTCTCACTGGGTCCCCGAGTCATCCCGGCATTCTCATCTAAGTGATGGTCTCCGATCTTACAGCCCTTCCTTTCCTTTCCAGAAAAAGGTGAACCCTGCCCTTCCAATCACTATCAAGCCCAGCAACAGAGTCCGGAAGCTGCTGGAGGAGAAGAAGAGGCAGCAGAAGCAGCTGACCAGGAAGCGGCTGGAGGAACTGCGGCGCTGGCACGCGGACATGAGGTGGGGTGTCCTCCCCTCCCACCCTCCGTCTGGGGCAGCACTGAGGACCACATGTCCATTCACTCACTTGCTCGAGTTGGGGGGACATCTGCTGTAGCGCCCAGGCCTGAGGACCCAGATGCTCATGACCTGCGAGGTGGGCAGGGGACACAGCACTCATCGGGACATGGAGGGCTTTAGAGCAAACTGGGCCCCTGTGCGCAGGTCACCCTAAGAATCTTCCTTAGTTAGTATGAATCGCCTAACAAACGAGGGATGGCATGGGCCTGGGAACCACGGGGCTGGCACTGTCACACCTGATTCATAAGCTCACCCTGGTGTCCCCCTGACTTCCTGTGTCCCTGTGTTCTCTAACCCATGGTGTCTCCTGACCTTTAGATCCCTTGGACCCCCCTGTGTTCCCCAGACCTCTTGTTGTCCCCTGATTGCCCTCACATTTGTCATCCTCCTCCTCCACCCTCTAGAGCAGCGGTTCTCAAACTGTGGGTCGCGACCCCTTTGGGGGTCAAACGACCCTTTCACAGGGGTCGCCTAAGACCATCGGAAAACACATATTTTCGATGGTCTTAGGAACTGAGACACTGCTCTATCCGCCTCCATGCTTCAAGACAAAATTTCATTTATTTGTAATTAGAAATAAATAGTTCACAATATATAATTACATATTGTTTTTGTGATTAATCACTATGCTTTGATTATGTTCAATTTGTAACAATGAAAATACATCCTGCATATCAGATATTTACATTACGATTCATAACAGTAGCAAAATTACAGTTATAGAGTAGCAACGAAAATAATTTTATGGTTGGGGGTCACCACAACATGAGGAACTGTATTAAAGGGTCGCGGCATTAGGAAGGTTGAGCACCGCTGGTCTAGAGCAATTCCAAAGCCTTTCATGACACGGCACCCGACTCACAGAAGACCCTTGGCAGTGTCTGAGCTGGGAACGAGGTCCAGCACAGAGTTGAGGGCTGCGGCTGCGGCTGCGGCTGCTCAGGCCGGCTCTTACCTCCATAGGAGTTGCCTGTGGTTCGTGTCCCCCTGGCTCTTGGGGCCTCAATCTCCCTGGCATACTGCAGGCGTTTGTGCAAGACCCCAGTCGCAGGCTCTCTCGGGGTCCCGTTTGGCTGCTGAGTCTCCTTAGTGGTCCTGGGGCCCCAGCCATGCTCAGCCGATGACTGAGGACGGGGCAGCAGGGGCATATGGCTTCCATATGCTGCTGGCTCCGATGTAAAAGCCCGGGGTCCTGCAGCTGCTGACAGCTCCTTGTCCTTTTGCTTCCCCACAGGCGCTCTGACCTGTGCAAGAGGCGGCTGGAGGAGAAGCTGCAGGCCCAGGATGACCACCAGGCCTGCTCACCGACTGACCAGCACCTTCCTGCCCTCACTCCCCTCATGAGCAGGCCGGGTGTGCCCGCCGCCACACCTTGGGTGGGTGGGGGTCTTGCACAGAAATGCCTCCTGTGGCAGTGACCCCGGGCTGGGTGATGTTCTCACATCTTCCCTAGGACCTGACTCTCCCAGGAGTGAGCAGCAGGACTTTGTACCAAACCCCTAAAGGGGTGCCCACCACCCATCACTGGTCACCAACGGGAGCTCCAGACCCCGGTCCCACTACCCGCCACAGTGGTCCTTTTAGCTTCCTGAGGCCTCGGTTGTCACATCCCTTGGGGATCCTTAGACATCTGTTGGGAACCTTAGATTTGCACCTTGCTGCAGGCATAGGCCCACTGAGTTGGCTGAAAAGTCCCTGGCTGGGAAATGTAAGAACATTACCATAGGGGAGCCCACTGGTCCCCCTCAGCTCAGAGCTTCCCGCAGCCATCAGGGGAGGCTCTGGGGTCCTCACTGGGTCTCCTCCACCCCATGGGTCCCCGTCATTCCTCAGCCTGGCAGCCCCCTCTCTACCCCATGACCTTCTGCTGCATGTGCTGTACTTCTGCAGGGCTGACACATCCTGTCCCCTGCCCACTGGGTCCTCGGGCCCTCTCAACCCACCCGTGACGTGCACACCTTTCCCCACAGCCCTCACGGCGGCCAGAGTCCAGTGATGACCGGCACGTCATGTGCAAGCATGCTGCCATCTACCCCGCAGAGGAGGAGCTCCTGGCCATCCAGAAGGCCGTGTCCCACTCGGAGCGCGCCCTCAAGCTGGTGTCCGACACGCTGGCGGAGGAGAATTCTGGAAGCCCAGAGCAAGAGGGCGGTGAGTGCAGGTAATGGAGATCACCCTCGGTTTCCCCAGGCCCAGGCAACTTGGAGGAGGTGGGAGGTCTGCTCTCTGGGGCGATGGTAGAGTTTCTCACAGGAAGTGTCTTGGGGGGGTTGGGGGGACAGAGGCAGACAGTCCTCTGATTGGCTTTGGGTCTCTGCTGTGGCAGGGGCTTTCCAGCCTATGGGTGGAAAGTTCACCAGGTCTCTACTCTCAGGGCCAGAGCCCCGAGGTTCAAAGGGAGGTTTAGTCCCAGTTGGTGAGAGCTATTGTTTTAACACCAGAATTTACATTTCCAACCAAAGGTGCATCTAGAAATATAGTTCACAAAACATGAACTACCTCTGTTTGTTCATCTGCGAAATGGAAATAAGTGTGATTCTGCCCCAGCCCCTCCGCCCCACGGAGCAGGAGCTGCCACTTCACAAGCCTGAATCGTCATTCCGGGCTCTGTGACTTTCGGGAGACAGAAAAATCCCTGTGCCTTGTAACGAGTCGTTATACGATTTAAATAATCTGAGAGGCAGTTAGTGTTTCCAGGTCCTTTCTCCCTTGGTGTCTTCATCTCTTTAATTTTTTCATTTTTTTGTTGTTGTGGTAAAATATTCGTAGTATGGAATTTACCATCGTAGCCATTATTATGGGTACAGTACAGCGGCACTAAGTATATTCTCAAGGTTGTGCAACCATCACCCACCACTATCTATTTTCAGAACTTTTTCATCCTCCAAAACAGAAATCTGCCTTGTTAAATTCCCCACCCCCTCGCACCACCATTTCACTTCCTGTCTCTATGGGTGGGCCTGTTCTGGACATTTCATGTAAGCGGAATCATGCAGCATTTGTCCCTTTGTGTCTGGCCAATTCTATGTAGGTTTCTTTTCACCATAGTGTTTGTTTCCTAGAAAAGAACATGTGCCACTTGTACAAAGTGTCAGATAAAATGAGCCACCCCTCAGCTTGAGCATGAGAACCTCCCCATAGGATGCGTCTACTTGGGAGAGTGAGCCTTCTTTATCTACCTGGTAGGGAAAACAAGTGTGCAAAGAAGACATTTCTTTCAGCCCCCCCCAACCCTCGACCCCCTGCCCCCACACACAACTTAGTGAGACCAAAACACATGACAGCAAAGTCTGATGGGGGAAGCCATCTCAGCTCTGAGGGTTGCCTGGACTCGGTGCTTGCTCACAGTCAGGAAAAGATGACCTGGCCATGAGACATGACACAGCAGATGGGCAGAGCATGTGAGGCGGGAAGGCAGGAAACATGGAAGCTGCCCAGAGGAGGCCGGTACTGCAGAGAGAAAGGGTGTTTCGTCATCAAAATCTCCACTTATGTTTTCTGAACAACAAAAAATCACCCCTCACTTAATACTTTGAAGTTCCCTGCAGTTGTTTTTTTGTTTTTTTGTTTTTTTGCCTGGACTCTTGTTTAGGTCTTCTTTTTATTTTTTAAACTTTTTATTTTGAAATAATTATGGACTTATAACAAAATAGTACGGAGAGGATTCTGGGGCCCTTCCCCCACCTGCCCCAGTGTGGACATAGAAGCAACCTTAGCACACGGGCACATCAGAGAACTCCAGGCCTTCCTCAGGCCTCCCTGTGTCAGCACGCACTCTGCTCCTCAGATGCCATCCTGTACAGTTCATGGCATCACATCACCTGCATAAATGCCCGTCACCCTGCCAGTCAGGACCTAGAACCTTTTTTCAACACGAAAAAGCAACCCGTGCCGCCCTTTGCACCTCCACGCTTCCCCCTCCTTACACCCAACAACTGCTGTGTGCTTTGAAAACAAAACTGATTGCATTTTTAAAAGCTTCCCTGTAACGTTTACATCACGTTACAGGACCTTACGTTATTTCTCAAAAACACAGAAATGTGTTTTCTAATAGGAACATAATAAACCATCCTGTTGATGTTCCATTACTTATTTAACCGTTGCAAAGAGCAAGTTAGTATTTGGGTTTTGTCAACTTTTATTATGGAAATTCTTTAACTTACACAGAAGTTGAGGGACAGAATTGTGATGAGCACCATGTGACCATTACTGAGCCATGATGCTCACACCATTTCCCTTGATCTCCTGCCCCTCCTCCCTGCTCCTCCATTGGAGGTTCAAAGGAGAGCCTATCTCACTGCATATTGTTCATTTAGTAAGTATTTAGTACCTATCTCTAAATGATAAGGACTCTTTAACAAAACCACAATCCCATTATCATGCTTTCAAATTAACTAATTCTTTAACTTCATCCAATATTCAGTCACTGTTGAAATTTCCAGCTGTCCCATAAATAATCATAATGCATTTTGTTGGTGTTTTAGGGTTTATTTTTTTTGTTTTATAGCTTATGTGAACTGGGGTTCAAATTGGTAGACACACCTCTAAGTCTCTGTATCTGCAGGTCCCCCTCCCCTGCTTTTTGCTTCCTCTTTCCTTAGGAGCCTCAGTTGCAGAGTCTGGTCCTTGTCCCTGAATCCAGATGTCCCTGGTCTGGATTTTGCTGGCGGCCTCCTGAGCCAGGTCCCATCAGGGCTTGTTGGGCTCCAGAGCTCTGTGGTCCCCAAATGGATAAGAACACGTAAACATGTTTTGTTTGTTTGTTTTTGTTTTTTTTTTAAAGAAAGGTTATCTCCTATCCCTAGAAGTGTCACAAAGAAAAAGTGGTGATTAGAGAGCAGCAGGTGAGGATGGCTGCTTCTGGCGTGGAGAAGGGGACATTTGTCTAGAGATCTGGCAAGTGAGGGCACCTCAGGCACCAGTCCTGGGAGCCAGAACAGAGGAACAAGCCCTGTGGGGCTGGAGGGTATAGGAAGGGGTTTGGGGCTAGAGCATAAGGCCTAAAGGCAAGATGCGGGGAGAAGATGGCGGCAAGGAGGCCCAGGGGGTCAGGCTGGAGGCCTCAGCCTGGCTGGCGAAGAAGCTTGGGTGTTGCTCTTATGCACAGGGCCAGCACTGGGAGGTTAGATGTGGGCAGATGCAGTGATTGGATTCACACTGCAGAAAGGTGGCCCTCGGCTGTAGAGAGGTGAGGCTGGAGCAGGGACTCCTTTAGGACACTCTGGCCTGAGCACCTGGATGGGCCTCCTCACAGAAGGTCGAGGTGGGGTTGAAGTGACCCTAGAGATGGCTCAGAAGGTGCCCAAACCCAAGGACTGACCAGCGTGGTGCCAACTGGCTGAGGACCAGGGGTCACTGGGGATGCCATCATTGGTCTTTTTCAGAATATAATTTGTCAGGAGATAGTAACAACTGCTAGCCCTTAGCAAGCATATACAATTTGATGATCACGTTCCCAGCACTTTTCTCAGATACATCTTCTCATGTCTCCTTTCGTCAAGTGCGCTCTGAGAAGTGGGCCTTGGAAAGGGCCCATTTCACAGATGAGGAACCTGAGGCACAGAGGGCTCAGCAAGCTGCTGGCATCCCAGGAACTCACTGGGGACCCAGGGTAGGACCACATGCTCCCTTTCTCCCTGACCCCTCTTCTCACACGCGCTTCTGTGGGTTTGTCTTCACAGCAGCATCAGCCCCTCTGCTCGGATCCTGAAGGGCGTGATGCGGGTCGGGCTCCTGGCCAAAGGCCTCCTCTTGCGGGGAGACAGGACCGTGCAGCTGATCCTGCTCTGCTCCCAGAAGCCCACCGGTGCCCTGCTGCGGAGAGTTGCCGATCAGCTGCCCCAGCAGCTCCTGGTAAGAGCATGTCACCTCATAGGGTGCTGCTGCCAGCCCTCTCCCAGGAGCCCCTGGGGCTCCCAGTCGGGGGTGACTTTGTTTCCACAGGACCTTAAAAAACAAGAGATCATGGTTCTTAGATACAAACCACTTTGTTTTTGTAAACAGTTGCAAGGAGAGCGATTGGTGGCAACTTCAGGGTTCCTTGATAAAGTAAGTCCAGGAAACCATGTAAATATCCCCCCATGAGGATGGCAACTTACATTACATCCTTCCTACAGAGCCTTAACCAGCCATTTAAGAGGATACATTGTGTGTTGTATAAAGGCGAGAAAGTTAGCACTCCCCTTGACAAGGATGGAAGAGACTCTCAGCCCTGACAGCACGCCTATGGCTAAGGCACTACCACTTACTTCATGGCATCTAACCATCGTTTTTAAAAATCCTTTATCTTGGGCTGGCCGAGTGGCGCGTTGGTTAAGAATTGGCTTGGGACGCTAGAGGGCCCCGGTTCGGATCCCACATATGAGGGCCAGTGACACTGCCATCTACAGCTAAGATGCTGAACAACAGCTCAACCTGGAGCTGGGCTGCTGTGAGTCGCCGGCGACGGCATAGGCTGCAGCCCCTGTGGCAGTGGGTTGCCATGGGCTACCATGTGTAGCCAGCAGCCAGCGTGAGCAGCCAGCAGCCGCAGTGAGCGGCCGTCCAGAAGCCGGCGACTTAATCTGCCTCGCCTGGGAAGAGCGCAATGATGGTGCCAACTTGGGCCAGTGAAGCAATGTCCTCCACAACTAGACTGAAGAACAAAAGGACAGCAACTTGTCTGTTCCCCTTCCCCCAATTCCCCAGCGCTGTTCCCATCCCCCAATTCCCTAATAAAAATCTTTAAAAAGAAATGCTTTATCTTCTCATAAAAAAAAAAAAAAACGATACATGGTGATGAAAGCAGCTGAGGTTGACTGTGAGGTTTCACAGCCGCAAGACCAGGAAGTCAGAGGCAAGATGGAAACTCGTTTTGAGGACTATGGGAGGTTGACTGGATTTTCTCCGCTAGAGCAGTTCCTCTGTTGTTGTCATGGGACTTTTCTCACCTGAAATGGTAACTGGGGGAAGAGTGAGATCACGTCATGATTTAAATTGATCGTCTTAGGTTAAAAAAATCAGTTCCAGAGTGGCTTCTTCCTGATGTGTCTGGCGCTGTTCCTGTGAGAATCCAGCATGGCTCCTCCGACTCCCTCCGTGAGCATGGGCCCGCGCAGACCCCAGCCCGCTCTCACACTCCCACTCTGGTCAGGAGCCGATAAACACACAGCACACTAACTTCAGTTTGTTTCCTGTGAGGAAATGAAAGCCTCATGCCAGGTAGCGAGCTCCTTGCGAGGCGGGGGCCACATCCGACAGTGGGAGGTGTGTGTCCTGGCAGAGGACATTTCGGTTGTTTTCAGTGTGCTGTGTTACCAGCAAGCCTGCACAAAATAAAAAACCTTATACACATGCCCCTCCACACACGTGGGAGCGCGTTCTGGGGCAGAGTCGCTGGGTCAAAGGCATGAGCCTGGTGCTCCTGGAAAGGGTTGACAGGTCAGTCTCTACCAGGGATTTATAGATGCATCGATTTACCAGCCCAGCTGCTCCTCAGACCTCTGGAGTTTTGTCCTTCTCACAGGTGATGATGGCACCTCATTATGGTTTCAATCTGCTTCTCTCTTACCATGTTATTGTGTAAAAAGGGACACCTGTTTTCTTTCCTGCCAACTATCTGTTATATCACTTGCCAGGTTTTTGGGGTTTTTTTTGAATTGCTGTTCTTGTTATTGAGTTGAGGGCGTTCTCTACATAAGAAGACACCTTATATGTGGGGTCTGTTGTCTATACGCATTTCTACATGTGTGCACTCCTGGAGGGTGGGGCTGTATCTCAGCCCCATGGAGGCGCCAGGCGCCAGGCATGGGGCCTGCCACCTGACCACATCCTTGTTGTTTGCACCTGCCTCTCAGCTGGAGTAATGTAGCCTTGTGTTGTGTTTGCACCTCGTAGATGGTGACAGAGGACAAGTACCAGGTCTCCTCTGACCCTGAGGCCAACATTATCATCTCGTCCTGTGAGGAGCCCAGGATGCGGGTCACTGTGTCTGTCACTTCACCCCTGATGCGGGAGGACACCTCCACTGACAAAGGTTCGATGGGGCCCTTCTGTCCAGGCCCTTGCCCCACACACCCAGATGGCCTAGGGCAGCATCTGACTCTCCTCTGGGTGGGGGTGGGGTGATGAGGGTGCAGCGTTCTGGTACTTCTGTCAGCCCTGGAGGCCACTGGTCAGATAAGAGCTGGGCCTTAGGGCAGTGGAGGAAATGAGCTGGTGACAAGTGTCAGATGGGCTCAGAAGCAGGCTGGGCCTGGGCACGCTCCTCGCTTGTTTCTAGGCTAGTGCAGGCACCTGCACCCTGCCCAGAGAAAACCAGCTGTGCCGGGTCCCAAGGAGCTCAGATTGTCCATCTGTCCATAGCAGAGACCACAGTAGATCCTACTGTTCCCGACACCACTCGTGAGGGACACGGGGGCTCAAGGGAGCTTGAGGGAGATTGGCATTGCCTGAGAGAGAGAGTGGGAGGGGTGCCAGGCCAGGCCAGAGGGCAGCGAGGGTCTGAAGTCACACTGCACGGTAGAGGCCAGCCCACAGGGATGCACCTCCCAGCTCATCAAGCCGTGGAACCTCCTGGAACAGCCCCAGGACCGTTTTCAAATCCAGTCACTCTCGAAACCCCTTCGTGATTGTTGTTTTGTCATAGCTGAGGGCCACTAACAACTAACTTTTTTTTTCTTTAAATCAATTCATTTTTAACACTCAAATTTTTAAAGAGGAGATCCTTTGACAGTAAGTGGAAAGCCATTACCAGTTGTCATAAATGTAGAGTCATCTAAAAATAAATACGGGGGGGGGGGGGAGAACAACGCCATTGAATTCTAGCTGAAGGCCCTGCTAGGGTTTGCTCTGACACACGAACTAGGGGGAGATTGGGAATGTAAGAAAGTGTTCAAGATCCATGGCCACTAGATGGAGGCTGACTGGAAGGATTAAGAGAACCGGAAACCCCTCTTTGACAGACGCTCTGTGAACACCAGGCTCACTCAGGTGCATATACTGGTCTGGCTGTTGCCCAGAGGGTAGCTTCTAACTCCTCCTTGCAGACACACTCCCGCCACTTCCATTTCAACCCTGTGACAGGCAGGCGACAGGCACAAGACCCCTGGGGATATTTGTGGGCAGTGAAACCTGTGCTCCGTCATGTGACCTAAATAAACCAGGGTCTCCTAGAGCAAGATGACAGTATTCTTGAAGCAGTAATAATAAGAAAGAAAAAAACAGACCTGAATTTCTCTCAGACACGGGAGCCTTTGTCATGGATGATGAGATGTGTTCAAACTGACCCATTTTCTCCCTTTTAATTATACATTTGGAAGTTTCTGGAAATCTGGCTGAATTCAGAGTTTTCCATCTGTCCTGTGATTTGCTAACTGAGGGAGCCAGCACTGAAGTCACTCAGTAACAAGCATTAAACTCTTTCCTCTTGGGCACAAACCTCAGAGGAGATCGGATATCATCGAAATGATTTCCCTGCTCCCTGCAGCGTCCTGGAGGAAAGACAGTCTTGGGGGACCACAGATCTTCCAGATAAATAAAATGAGGCCCAGAAGATACATAACATGAGACGCAGAGAACTGAGGGGCAGGGCCCCGTATGGCCCAGGGAGGGAGTGGAATGGGAAGGGGCGCCTTGCCCACAGGTCCTTTTCTTCTAGAAGGAATGGAAGCACCTCCACGCGAACCAGGGGACATCTTGAGCCCAGAAAAATGTCTCCAGTCGCTGGCCGCCCTCCGCCATGCCAAGTGGTTCCAGGTCAGGGGGCAGGGGTGGGAGGAGGTAGAATCTGTCTGTCCTGCCAGCTGCGCCTTCAGCTGTCTCCTTGGCTAGCAGCTCGGCCCATGTCTCCTTGCCCAGCACTAACCTGATGGGTCGGATCAGAGCAGGCCTGGTTCTGTTGGCCTGTGCCCATTTGGGAGTGGGCTCTGCTCCTAGCCACCACCCTCCAGGCCAGCCAGGCATGCTTCCGGAGACCCTCCCTGGCCTCCACTGCCACGATGCCAGGACAGGACCCCTGGACCTGCTTGCCAGCCCCAGGGTCAGCCCTTGTCCCCTCAGCTTCACACATGCCCCCCTTATGGCCACATGAATGTGGCTTCCAGAGCCCACAATGCATTTCTTCCCCCAAAGGCACGAGCCAGCGGCCTGCAGCCCTGTGTGATCGTCATCAGGGTTTTTCGGGACCTCTGCCGGCGCATGCCCACCTGGGGGGCCCTGCCAGACTGGGTAAGCCAGCGCCGGGTGACTGGCCCTGCTCTGGGAAGCCCACAGATGGCCTCCACAGCCCCAAAAGGCCCTGTTTCCTCCTAGACAGACATTCCCCCTCCCAGCACTTAGCTTTTCCCGGAAGGCACTGGTGTCTGCCTGAGTAGCCGGGAGAGGTAGATCACAGCAGCGGTTTCTTGGGGGCCCCTGGGCACCAGGAAGAGGCCTGCTCTGGAGCACAGCCTCACTTGACTATATTTTCTTAAACCCATGACCTCACAGGCAGCACCAGGTAGCATGCCAATGCAAGGGCACTGGGGAACATGCAGAGTCAGCGCAGAGGGCCTGGCGAGGTCAGGGACCTGGGTGCCCATCCTGGGTCCACGCCGGCCTCTGGAGGTCCTGGTGCACCCCCACCTCCTCTTGAGAGGATTCTCCCTGCAGCTCTGACATCCCTGGCCAGTAGGCACCCGAGTCCATGGTGGGAGAAGAGCAGAGAAGAGAGAGTGCAAATGACCCCCAAATCCCCAAGCTGCCAAGTTATGAGACACCAGCTCCCGCCCTCTCTGGGGTCTCCCTCCCCATATTTCTGTGGAATTGCATCTTGTCCTTCCATGGGTTAATCTCTAAGTGTCCCTCTCTCACCGACCCCTAGTAATGGGTGGGATGACTTATAGGTTTTGAAGTCTTTCATATTATTCTTGGGAAGGGGCCTAAGCCCCTTGAACTCTGAGGGACATTTGCATTCTATGTGCAGCCTTCTGCTGCCAGTTCATCTCCTCCTGCCCCCAAACAAGGAGGCCCTTCCCACACCGGCCTGGGCTACCACTGGCCTTACTTATGAGGGCCATGTCCAAAACCAAGGGTTCTGGTGCCCACCCGGACCTCTGCCTACTGCCCAGTATCCAGGGGAGACGTTGCTCTCGGTGTCACCCCTTCATGGACAGCACAGCAGCTGGCTTCATACTGAGTTACTAACATGTCCCTGGTCCTGCCCTTTCCTGCCTCCACTGGGTGGCTCCTTGGAGGAGGGGGCACTCCCCTGACTAAATGTTTTAACTCTTGCAATGCTAGTTTGCAATGTTACAATCGATGGTATTTTGCCGATGGAGAAACCGAGGGATAGAAAGTGGAGAAAACTGCCCATGGCCATGCCAGGCGTGGCGAGGCCTCCGTGACCACCCCCCTGTGTAGCACTTGAAGGGTGGGTGGGAGTTTTGGGTAAGAACTGGGAGGAGCCTCCAATCCTGGGGTCCCCTGGAGACCCCCAGCCAAGCCAGGCAGAGCTCCTCCAGTGGGAGGCAAGCTGGCCCAGGCGCTCTCCTCAGATGCACAGTGTCTCCTTTTCTGTCCCTGCCCTGCCCAGGCCATGGAGCTGCTGGTAGAGAGGGCTCTGAGCAGTGCAAAGCGGCCCTTGAGCCCCGGGGACGCCGTGCGACGGGTCCTGGAGTGTGTGGCCTCGGGGACGCTCCTGGCAGGTCAGTTCCCGTCGCCTGGGAAGCCCAGAAAACACTGGGGCACGTAGCAGAGACTCAGTGTCATAGCTGGAGACAGAGGGAGCCTCTTACCAATGCTAGAGAACAATATCCATCCCAGACAGAAGGAAGGACCCAGACACACGTCCCCCAGGGGAAAATGAAGAGCGTAGTGTGCGGAACACACTCACCTGCAAATGAGGGCGAAGTTCCTTGTGCAGATGGAGCAGGCGAGGGAGCCTTGGCTGTCGCTCCCCTGGTGATGGCCTCAGCGGGAATATTCCTGAAGGAAATAACCAGACACTCAGAGAATAGGTTGTGTACGAAGATGTTCACCACGGTGTGGTTTACAGTAGCAGACGGGAAGAGAAGCCTCACATGCACTCGTGACATGTCAGATACAAAGATGGTGTTTTCCAGTCATTTTAGTGACACAGGATGATAAATGAAAAGAGGAAATGCATGCACTGGGCCCATGGTGTGAGCCTGTTAATGTAACTGTATGCTTGTGCTGGAAGGAACCCTGCTGAGTGTGTGTGTGGACAGGGAGGACTGCCTCAGGAGAGACACACCCGGGGAGACCCCGTGCTGGCCGCTGTGGCCCATGGGCGCCAAGGGGTGCAGTTGCAGACCCCATGCTTGGACCCTTGCAGGCCAGGCCCCCACGGTGGCAGTCTTTCACAAGGGTGCTCTCTCCTTCTTTGCCACCCCCACCCGCTTTGCAAAGATGGGCCTGGGCTCCAGGATCCCTGCGAGAGAGACCAGAGGGATGTGATCGGGTCCATGACCCTCCAGGAGCGGGAAGACATGACAACCAGCGCCCAGGTAGGACAGCCGGTCCCTGCGGCTACCCAAATCTGGCCAGTTCAACCAGACTATGGGTGGCACCCCAGTCCCAGCCTCTGTTTGCTGCTATTCAGCATCCCAGGAAGTGATACGGGGTTCCCCTTTCCTCCCCCTGCAGAAATGGGTGGCCTGTGGGTGGCAGGACTGCTTCTGGGGAAAAGGCCAGCCTGGCTCAGAGCTGAAGGCACTGTCGTGCTGAGGTGCAGACCTCACTGGTTGAGACCGTCCTGGGTTCCCCCCAACACATGCACCCCGTGCTCTATGAATACCCAGCTTGGGGCTGGTCAGCCTCAATCACCAAGCCTAGTCCCTGTGTGTGGCTTCCCTTTGTAAGTTTATAAGAAAGGCTCCCAGTGGTACAAAAATCACACTGGGCCTGACATTTAGGAACCGTCTTTAATGGACAGAATCAAATTGCTCATGATCAGAGCTGAACTGGGAGATGCAGGACTTGGGGTCCCTGTAGTGAGGCAGGAAGCACTGATGTTCCAAGGGGCTCCCTGCAAAGTTGTGCTGTCAGCCGGCCCCAAGCAACTCCCAGTGTAGTTCTTCACACCTGTGGGTCGGTGAGCGTGGCAGTTACTAGAAGGGTGTTGCCGAGGACAGGGAGCCTGGTGAGCTCGTGTCTGCACTGGGCCAGGGGGCCAGATAAGGGGTGTGGGCAGGAGGGTCCTGATGGGCTGTCTGCCCCCAGCACGCCCTGCGCTTGTTGGCGTTTCGGCAGATACACAAGATCCTGGGCATGGATCCTCTGCCGCCGCCCCAAAGCAGGCCCGGGCCACACTTCCGGAAGAGGTTGAGGGAGGCAGGCCAGGCCAAGGACGGCAAGGGCCCGAGGAAGCAGGCTTGCGGGCCGGAGAGGGGCAGTGTGAGTGGCCTTGCCCCCCAAGCGGGACCTGACCTCCTGCCGAGTGGTCGCTTCATCCCTGACATCGGACAGTCATGTTCTCCTTTCCAGTAACGTCCTGTGGGTTTCGTTAAAAACACTTGTGCTTAAATCATCAGTGAAATTGCATCATCCGAGGATGAGAACCACCGGGTGGGGCAGCATCCCGCACCCCGAGGTGCCCGCAGTGCTGGGTAGAAGGTATGGCACAGCGGCTTTGAACCCTGGTACTTTTGCTAGCCTTAAACTCACCCTGGTGTTGCTAAGGGTGTGGGCTTCTAAATTGCTTCCTGAGGACACCCCAGCTGTGCTCAGACTTGAAATCACTAGGCAGGCCCGTCTGGGGTCCCTTGTCTGGGAGGCAGGCCATGGAGAGCTGGGGGGTCGGCGAAGCCCAAGGGCACACCTGGGCTCAGCCTGCTGCAAACAGAGCCCCTCCCGTTCTCAGCCTAGAGATAGCCCCTCAGCCAGAGCTCTGCAGGGCCTGAGCTGGGCTCCCTCACCCCTACCCCGCCTCCCTTGGTGGGGAGACAGGGCCAGGGGTGATGATCATGCAGGCTGAGTGCTCCTCTGGTCCCCCAGAAACATTTGTGAGCCTACAGCCTTCCCTGACCTAGAGTCCCCCACCCCTCACCCTTCATCCCAACCACTGAGTGCCTTCTGCTTACAGAGGAGCTGCTCTGCAATGTCCCATTTAGGGCTGGGCTTGCCCAATGTCTTTCTCCTATCCTCCCTGCGTAGGTCTGGCCTACCTGGGTCCAGGGCTTACCTCTTGGGAGCAGGTCTGGGGGCCATGCCTGGTGCAGGACATGGGGTCAGGCACCGCCTGGCTCTGATGGACATGGGGGCACCCCTTGCCCAGCCTCTGCCCCGATTTGTCCAAACCTCCCTTTTCAGCAAGCAGCTTTTTTGGCCAGCTGCCCAATGGCCTTAAAGGAGAAAAGTCCATCTTTGTGCCAATGCAGTTACAGTGACTTGATTCCTTTGATTTCATGTCTGTGTTTAAGGGACAGCCTCTGTGTGGCTTCATGTCTAATGTCTTTGCAGAGCTACCTGGAAGTTTGGTGGGGGAATAAACGAGATATGCTTGTCTTTTGGTGTGGACCACACAGTCCTTCACTTGAGGTGCACGTGGCCCTGCTGGGCTCTCCCGCTGTCCCCTCAGGGCTCTGGGCCGGGGCTTTCCACTTGCCGGCATTTCTCCCCAAGGCTCTGAGACCATGAGTGTGGATGCAGAGGACAAATGTGGATAGGAAAGACGTTGGAGGGGCTGCTGCTGTCCAGGGGCTGCTTCCCTGGTGTGGTCACCCTCAGGCCGGCCTCACACCAGGGGCTCCTGGGGGTCCCGAAAAGCCTGGCTCTGCAGATCGCACCCACTCACAGTGCCCAGCTCAAGAAGTGCTCATTTCATACATGCCCCAGGCCACCCAAGGGACCCACCCTGGCCTGGTCCAGGAGACACACAGTGGGACCATCAGCAGGAAGGTTGGGAGCCTGGGAGGCTTCCTGGAGGAGGGGCTGGCCAAGCTGAGTTACTGGCCCCCCCCACCAAGAGTTCCCTGCAATTTCCCCAAAGCCTCATCACAAACCTCCTGGGGTAGCGGTGGGGGGGACTTCAAATGGGGAAACCTGGTCACCAGCTGAGCTTCTGACAGCTTCAAGCCCCCATGGCATCCCAGGACAGTGGGGCAAGGTGGTGATGGCCCCCACGGAAGTGGCACCTGTCACTATGCACAGAGCATGGGCTGGGAGACAGCCAGGACCCCATTCTCAGAGCCGGGCCAAGGGACTGTTGGTGCCTCAGGTAGGCAGGGCCCAGCCTGGTCCTAGTAGGTGCATTACCTACCAGAAACAGGAAGCAGCTGGCCGGCCAGACGCCTGACTACTAGTCTTCCCCTGCTTCCCTGGGAGAGCAAGCTACTACTTGCTTTTGCCTCTTCTGCCTCAGGCCCCTTCCTGAGGAAGTGGGGCCCCCTGCCTCTTACGGGCACCCCGACAATGCCTGGGAAGCAGGGCCAGCCCCTCCGCCAGTCCTGGTCCCAGCCACAGACAGGGCACAGGGGATGGGTCCAGCATCCTCCACCTCACACGGGGCCTTCACCCCACACACACGGTCTCTCCCTCTGCATCTTGGCTGGTTACTCTGCCATTCATCCAGCTGCCCAGGCTGACCACCTACTATGGGGGTTCCTTCTGGGTTCCTCTGTGATCGGGGCCAACCCATCAAGAAGTTCTGTCAGTCCCTCTCCTACTGCTCTCCATCTGCATAGGCACTCTGCTTTTTCAACCCTCCATCAGCAGGAGCTCTGGATAAAACTCAGGATTGCAGTCAGGATAAAACCCCAAATCCCAGTGAAGCCCCACAAGAACCCATCTGCCACCCTCTCCCTCAATAATTCCACTTCAGATCCACCAGTTTCTGCTTGTGTCAGACCAGCCAATCTTGTTGCTGCCCCAGGGCTTTTGTACATTCTGTTTTGCTTTATAGTGAGCTCTTCCCATGACCTGTATGACCAGCGACTCCTCCTCTCCTTCAGGTCTCAGCTCAGATGTCACTTCCCCAGAGAGGCCTCCTTGATCACCTCAACTTGCCACATAACCCTATTAATTTTCTTTATACCACACATCACTCATTAAGATCGCTTGTTATCTACCTTCTCCCCCAGGATGTGAATTCTCTGTGGACAGGAAATATATCTACCTTATTCACCATGATATCCCCAGGTCTAGAAAAGACCACTTACATGGTATTATATTAGGTAAATAAAAATATTAAAGGCTTGAAGCCATGCTCTGATACCCAAACATTAGTCCTATAAGAGGGATTTGCCTCCTAGCAGTTAGGAAGATACCATTTGTTTCTTCTGCCTCGTCCCAGGAGATAATTGTAACAGCTGGGGAAAGAGATTGGCAGTGTGATGAAGGGAAGGGAGAATGGATCTGCCTTCAAGATGAGGATGAGACAGGTGTGATAGTCACAGCTGCACCTGTGTGGAAGGCCTTGTGCCCTGCTGCTATGAACCAGGATTTCCTCCCTTACATCCTGCCAGGGGTAGCTGTTGGAAACCACATCACCCACCAATCACTGGTCCCTTCCCTGGTTTCTGGGGAAGACAGATATTATCTTCTCCACAACATGGTTTAAGACCAATCCTGTTGACAGAGAGTTAAATCAGCTCCCGTAGTAACTCCAAAAAACCAAGTTTAGGCAACGCAACAGCAAAATCAAGCAGTCGATTAGTGACGTACGCAGTCCAGATGGATGAACCGTCTGGGCGATTGAGCTCATTCAAGGCCTAAAGAGCGGTTGATTCTGATCTTTCCTTTCCATCCCTCTTCCCACCGGGCAGAGGACCCAAGAGCAGGCTGACAGGAAGACACCGGACCAGGCACTAGAGAAGCCTGACTTCTAGGAGGGGGAGTAGCACCCTGAGACAGCTACGACTGGGGACCTCAGGCTGCAGGATGCTAGCCTGCGAGCCTGGTTGCTAGGAGATGGCGGTGAGTGGGAGAGATGATGTGGGGCCTGTGGGCAGGGCTGCATCTGAACCTGTCAGGCAGTCCAGGGAAGACAAAAATGGAAGGGCAGATCCATCACTTCCATCTGCAAAGTCACTGATAACACAGAAATATAGCCACGAGGGCTGGCCGAGTGGCGCGTTGGTTAAGAGCTGGCTTGGGACGCCAGAGGGCCCCGGTTCGGATCCCACAT